CATAACTTTGCTGCTAAATACTTTAGGAAATGTTTTATGGCTTCCTTCTATTGGATTAAATATTGTAAATTGCAATTTTACTTTAATTTAAAGTTCTGATGTTTCTTCTTTAGAAGTAAATAGGTAAATAGGTGCAGCCTGTGCAGACATAATGTGCCCTCTTGAAGGTTTAGTCCTCTCAATTCACCCACTGTTTCATCTGAGTTACCAGTGAAAGTGTTTTATATTGTTTTTTAAGTGTTTCCTTTCCTCTATTGTGGTGAAAACCAAGGGCAAGATTTTAATATGCCAATACATGTTAAATCACCATAATCCCATTACTAGCTATCCCCTCTGATATGCTACAACATACTTGGTGATCATTCTAGAGGCATGTCATGGTTGCATTTCTTTTTTTCCCAGCATTAGTCATGTCAGTAAATATGTTGTAAAAAATTCAATTTTTTTTTTAAAATGTGGACTGCAGAAGACTAATAAAACTTGGGGCGTGGGGGGTTTGGTGTTGGAAGAAAATATGCTACCCCAATTATTTTTAATCAATTAACATGTTTTGGCTACAGTGAAGGTTTTTGTTTTTTTTAATCAAGCACACCGTGAGAACAACTAAAAGGGTAATTCCACTTTCCTAGGTGAATTTGGGAAAATGGAATTACCACCTCCAATCTGGCCCCCTTTCAATTGGCGCTAATAAATGAGTCCACCATTTTCAAGCGAAATTTAAAATCCAGAGCACAGGGCTATGCTACACGGCAGTACGGGGTACATATAGTGTAACAAATAGGTCCTGTTTTCCTTTAATGAGTATATATCTTTTTCATTCCTGATTTTCCTAACTGCGTTAGCAGTTTTCATGTTTAAAGCTACCCATAAGTCTTTAGAGTACAGCTGTCATGTCTGCAAGTCCATGGGTGTGCTTACCACAGAATAAAATCCTTATGAACCGGATATCTTTTAGATTGTAAGCCCTCACGGGCAGGGCCCTCCTTACCATCTTGTCTTAAATTGTATTGTGACTGTAATGTCTTCCTTATATTGTAAAGCGCTGTGCAAACTATTGGCGCTATATAAATCCTGTATAATAATAATAATATCTTGCCTCAATAGATGTTAAGCAGGGAGACTAAGGCGCTGATTTTATATAGCCTTCGCCATGCTTATAGCTATGCAGACAACTTTACATCACAATACTGCCACTAGATGGTGGAGCATAAGAAATTCTCGTAATGCTGTCTGTAGCGTTCGCTCAGCTATACGCTGTGCTATAGTAAAATACTAATATCCCTCTTGTGGCTAATTTATTCTTTTATTTCAATTTTTAAAAAGCAAAAAAAAATGATTAATGCATGTAAAAACATTAAAATCACACCAAAACAATATAGATGAAATTTACCTCCAAACAATCGCTTAAAATATAAAGTATGGGTAACTGAAGATATAGTATACTTTCCCTTTCAGATAATATTTTAGTTCACAATCAGACTATCGCAGATATTATAAGCTCTTGTTAGCTGTTGAAACTCGTTAAATGTATAGCTTTGTAAGGATTGTCTCTAAGCTGAGCTGTTATTTCGGTCTATGGGCCCTTTAAATTGAATGCTGTTGTAAAACTGTTGCAGGGCTGTCTGGCAAAGAGTTTTTAGTATTTACTGGCATGTGCAAATTTCCCTAACCTGCCAGTGGTGGAAGCCACATATCCACGGCAGACCTCCTTCAATAGCTAAATCGTAAAAGGCCCATCACGATAATCCATCAGCACCTGATCCTGTACGAAACCTCCACTCTCCCAACAGCCGACTTAAAGCTAAGATTTAATACAGCCCCATGTCTGCCATCAGGCAGGCCTCGACAGTTTAAAGCTCATTCTCTAAATCTCTGCAGACTTTATGGCCAGCTGAGGGCTCATATAAAGTTTAATAGCATTACGGCACATAAATCATCTTTTAAAGATGCCACTAGCACCTCCGATATTAAATGAAGACAATTGTGTGCGTTATAAATAATTTATCAAACAGCATTTCGGATTGCCTATCTAGTCTGACTTGTTTATTTTTGTCCTTACGAGAGTATTCCTCTGGCACTTCTTGAGAGGACCATTACCGGTCAGTTTAATGAACTCTGGGGCCGTTTAGGCCACCACGAGCTACATGCTGCAGCTGCGGTGACCGATCTGGATCTCTCTCTCCTGCCTTCTCCAAGTGCTGGCCATTTGTCATCTGCTGGTAAATAGCTGTGCACATTGGAGCCCAGGGACACATTGTGTGATACAGTGATGGAAGCAAACAGATAGCTCTATAAAGAGCTGCTTGTCACCGCTGACTCGTCTTACCGTACATCACTCTTATTGTAATCTCATTTAAGAAGCAGCACAGCAGACCCTGGGGTAACATATTCCCAGGTACTTTGGACTTCACAGCTATAAACTACTCACAGGCCCAGTTATTTGCTCCAAAACTTTTTTGTTTTTAATTACCAGAATGCTGCTCGTCTATGAAAGGCAGGAAATAGCTGTATGTGCGCAGATTTTGCTTGTATACATATTTACCTGCATGTGTATACCATTAAGGGCTATCTTTCTATGCTTCATCCAAATGATTATATAACTTGTTCATTAAATTAAGCTGTGTAAGGTTTAATTTATAAATACTCAATGTTTTATTTGGGACACAACTGCTTAAACCGAACCCAACAAATTATACATTAATCTTATGCCTATGTCTATATTAGATATGTGATTGTCAAAGTGGTTATAATACATTCCCCACAAAACAAGCCTCATACAGTAATATACTGTATGCACATAATTTTGGGCAGGACTGGGAGTGTCTTCCTTAGCTTGCTATTGCAGTGGCAGGGTACATCCTTGTGTTGTGGTCCAGGCATTTAGATAATGTGTCATTATATGATAACTACTATATCTCAGACATAGTCCAACCAAAAACCATAAAATGCTGAACTAAGCTCCTACAATTTATTTAGGGTGGGGGAGGGGGCATCTATATTTTGCTGTGCAGAAGTTCACAAATAAGGGTCCAGTTTTCACAGAGCTCCTTTAGAATAAAACTGTGTCCTCTGTTTCCCATATTGTTTGAACAATTCTGGGCCTTGCTACAGTATATATTTAACGGACCTGGATAAATGCAGCACAGTTGGCGGTTCCTTTGCTCACTCTGTATGTGAACACACAATACAGATTCTAAACCAAGGTTCCCCAAAATGGCCAGTATTGATCCCCAAGGGTCAGTATGAGTATTGAAGGGGTTAATAAAATGACTGGGTGTCAGTTAATGTCTGTGGTCCTAAGGTGGTTGATAAATCATGGAATAACTCAGGGTACCTGGTTCAAACCCTGGCCAGGTCACTATCTCCAAGGAGTTTGCATGTTCTCTCTGTGCTTGTGTGGGTTTCCTGCAGGTAATCCGGTTTCCTCCCACAGTCCAAAGACATGCTGGAAGGTTAATTGGCTCCTCCCAAAATTGTTCCTGTACGTACACATGTGAGAGAGGGACCTTCGATTGTAAGCTCCTTGAGGGCAGGAACTGATGTGAATGCGCTCTATGTAAAGTGCTGCGTAAATTGTTGGCACTATATAAATACCTGAAATAAATAAATAAAATATCTGTTAGGGTCAATTATTCTTTTGAGGTTTCTGTAGAGCTACATGCCAGTCCCTTGTCCTAAAGGGTAAGGTGACCAATGGTGAGACATTGTTAACCAGGGTTGGATGGTCAACCGTTAGTGAAAGTGCCTTTAAGGTTTTCTTGTAGCACCTGTGGGGTGTCATTGCCCTTGATTACCAGCTTGCTTTGCATTGTGTCTGTGACCTTCCACCTTTCCCCTTCAGAAAGGATATACAAATGTGTTCATTTCCCGTTCTGAGTATAATCTCCCACCTTATTGTCAGAGAGCCAGTGAGTACACCCATAGACATAGGAGTGGTGCCAAAGAACGGATTACTGTGCATTTACTAAAAATTGTGCATTGTAACAAATAAAATGGCAGCGGCTGATACCAAGAGGAAATGTTGATAGTATTCACAAGATTATTATTCATGGTGCTAGAATATAAAGTTGTCGCTCTTATATTTCACATGTTTTGGGGTCGGTGAACAATTTTTAAGCTTCATGAAGGGGTTTGTGAGCTGAAGAGTTTGAGAACCCCTGTTCTAAACAGACTAATCAGAGCACTGAGAACAGTGCCTTCTGCATGCCATGTAATAAATGTAAACCTGTGTCTCTGTTTGTACTGTGCGTTAACTAAAAGAATGAATTGTGTCAATGGATGTTGAGCTGTACAGGACGAATTTAACAGCTGAAGAGTGAAAATATTTACCTTGTTTAGAGCAAAACATGCTGTGACAGTCATGGTGGGCTCCAGGTGAAGTCCTAGTATCTTTTTGACAATGTCTTTTCACATGTACAACACTTACAATGAAAGAATAAGCTGGTTTGTTATCAATAACTTTTGGAGATTTTTAGCTTCACAAATAAAAGTTCTAGACCCACAATTGCATTCAGACTTATCTGATTGGTGGAAGGTGACACATATTGGATATTCTTATTGTCTGATTTCATTATTTGTGATTCTATGCAGGGTATGCATGCGTTGCAACAGTTTCAAAATATGCACCTTACAGTGTCAGTTCCACAGTTCCCATTCAAAATTGATGTGTCTGAGATGGATGTAGATCTACTTTTATTGGGTGTGATTTAAAGGGTTGTATGGGACATCAAGATGTACTTTTTCAGTCTTGTTGGTTCAGAAATGTGTTCAAAATGCTTAGTGTGACAGTGTGTCACTGGAACCGGAAATTCCGAGAAATAGGCCCTAGAGACAAGACAACAGTAAACATGACAGAGCAGTGTTCCCCTATCCAAAACTAAACTCCTATTCCTACATATACACAAACAGACAGCACTTGCATCTGCCTCATGGACAGTTATAAAGATTTTTCTCTGGGTTTATTATATACACTGTGAATAATGGTGATTTTCTATCTGCAGGAAGAAGAGGCCAAACAATTGGTACGGGATGCCATTGCTTCGGGGATCTTCAATGACTTGGGCTCCGGTAGCAACATAGACTTGTGTGTGATTACAAAGAATAAGGTGGATTACATACGCCCTCATGATATGGCAAACAAGAAAGGTGTGAGGTAGGTTTACCCAGCTTTGAAGCCACACTTTTCTAGACTGAATTGAGTATCATTCATATCTTGCAATGTACAGTATGAAAGTGTACAATAAGTGTGTATTGTTTCTGTTTTATAGATCTGGACATTACAAGTACAAGAAAGGCACCACTGGTGTTCTGTCGGAGAAGATTACCCACTTCAACCTCGATGTAGTGGAAGAGAGTATCCAAACTATGGATACTTCCTAAGGTTATAGTCCAATCCCCGTTTGTACTGAGTCATAATATGTCAAATCTCTGTTCTTTGTGAGAGATTCAATAAAAAAGAAAAGAAAAATCATGACTGTTCTTTTTATTTGAAATAACACCAACATACACCCGTACCTTAAGACTAAACTTCAGGCAGATTTGCAAACTAAAGGCACACTGGCAAAATTTGGCTGAATGTCTTACCATACACACACGGGTTATGACTGGATCATCTGGGTAAAAATCATGACATTTACAACTAATATAGAGGATTATCTTTTAGATGCAAGTCAGATATAAAAGAAACTAATGCAGCTTTGTATTTGGTAATACACCATTAAAACCCTACTTTACATTTTTATTTATCAATAATATCCCCCAGCCTGCCCTACTCTCCTATCTGGAGTGGTCCTCCTCAGTACCTCTTCTTTGCTGCAAGCTTTCCTCAGTGTGTTGGATTTAATGATGCCCAGATTGAGCACTCTACTGTGAATGCAGGGCATCATGGCCCCTTCCCTTGATGGGCTCATCAGTCTGCTGCTTCTCCTTTTACTTTACAGTCACTGGGAGGGGTTGGGGGAGGAGACTGGAGGTTGTTACTGAACACAGTAGTGTTAAGGTGCCCACACACCTTGCGATAATCGTACGATAATCGTGGGAAATCCCGAGATCGTATGATTATCGTAAGGTGTGTGTAAGTTGTGCGACCTCTACTACTGTAAGGTCGCACGACTTTTATCTTATGAACATGTTCAAAAACCTGTCGAATCGTACGATTTTCAGCGGGTGTGTAGCATGTTCGTAAGATAAAAGCCGGACGGGCTGGTGTGCGCAGGCGCACACTGCCCGTTCGGCATTGCGGTCTTCGGAAGCCCGCCACTCAGCGGGGCAGGCTTGCGATCATCGCAAGTACGATCTGCCTGTCCAAGATAGGCAGATCGTACGTTTTTTTAATTACCTTACAACCATCGCAAGACAAAAGTATTGCAATGGTTGTAAGGTATGTGTGCCCAGCCTTAGTCAGCTGTCCTGCCAGGTGCTGTGTAAATCTCATGACTTGATGGACAGTCATTTTTTGGTCGGAAAAATAACCACCTTTATATGTAAAATACGGGGACCCTTCAATTTCCATTGATACGTGGGTATGCGTATATGTGTATACATATACACATATGAGCTGCACTCAAAGATAAGATCCCACTTAAGACTTTATTGTGCTTTATGTATCCAATACACAAGCCGCCTGGCCTTCAGCAGGAGTGGATAAACCGAAAATTGTTTGTGCGGCTTTGGGATTGCATTTTGCTATATCCATAGTAAAGACTCTTACCACAGACTGCACTAACTGTCTGGTTCCTGTTAGGAAAGGCTGCCATGCAACAAGATTTACTGGTGCAATCAAGAGTTTTGGAATGGGATACTTATTCAACTTTTCATTATTTTCTTTCATACAGCAAAGACTTCTATTATGCAGAGCACTAATAGGCAGTTTCCCTTTAAGGAATGACTGCCCTGCAATTATTTACTGGTAGTAAACAGCTTTTTTTTATACTATACACTTTCTGGCAAAACTATGTAGGTAACCTCCTATGTTGTCTTTAAACTGCTAAACCCTAATTTCTGTTGTGATACACATACATTTTATTTGAGTTCCTACTTTATTATGATACACACAAACATTTATTCTTTTGCAAAAGGATTCATTCTAATGGAAAGATGTAAGAGTATATTATTTACCCTCTGCACTGTAAACTGACCATCAGCAGTGTATAAATATCAGTTGCAGTTTAAATTGTTATCTGTAAACTGCAATCAGCTGATTCCTCTCTGCTCTGCTGAGCTCAGTGTGCTGACCACTCCTCATGAAGGTGCACACACTCAGCGGAGCAGAGAGAACTCCCTATGAGTCATCATCACATCTCCTCATAGCTCTGTGTTCTGTATGTGAGGACGATACACATATTGTCCAGGGGACCGTGCAGAGTGACCGGAGATTTTTATTTTTTTTCTCTGTAACTACAGTTGCAGGATTGTTGTGATTGCTAAAGAAATCCGTTATATTTTGTTATGAGCGATTACTGGAGACAAAATATAACATTTCTTTAGCAATCGCTTATAACAATCCTCCAACTGTAGTCACAGGTAAAAAGAAAAAAATCTCCTGGTCACTTTGCACTGCCCAGGGGGTGGTACCACTATGAATATTAATGAAGGCATGAGAGAAGCAAAGCATTGTGGGAAAAGGAGTTTTTCCACTCCCTATAATGTAGTTTCCACTGTACAGAGTTGGAAATATAGTAGCCAAGAGCCAGGGTTATGGGGTTGGTTTGCTAACAGCATTCAAGGGTTTCAGGGCCGTCTCTGTAAGAGCCTCTATTATAGGCGACGGCTCTATGGCCGACCAATGTAGGAAACTAGAGGAGATACAGCCAGGAGGGAACTCGGGATTTGGATTGATAAAGGGAAGAGATGATAATGGGGTGCGATGAGCAGGAGAAAGCCAAGGTATGGAAAAGGGGAGTATTGGGGAAATGAGTGCTTCTACATTACTTTAGAATTCACTGACTCGTAACATGTATGCATATTGGGGAAAGTCAGGAGTCCTTATCTGAAGCTGAGTAAGTAACCTGGATCAAATGTAAAAAGCAAGAAGGTCAGCTCAACATCTATGCATCTGGCATTTAGAGAATGAGACATTGCAATGGCATCTTGTTTCTTTTGGGAGGTTTCCTTGAAATGTTTCTTTAACCACTTGGCTCCCAGGGGCCACAGGGAAGGAGCTTTTTTATCCCAGCACTTTTTTAAAACCGTAACCAAACTTAGCGTGTACTGACTTGCATCCTGGATCTTGCTACACAATACTTTATAGGAGCGCTTGTAGCAGTTGAAACATGTTTCCATATTTACTTTGGAAGTGATGTGGTCATGGCATTTTTTAGCTTAGAGCAGTGGTTTTCAACCTGTGGGTCGCAACCCACAGTTGAGGGGGTCCCCACATGCCTTGTGCTGCTCTAGGTAAGCCTGCATAGCCTCCAAAGAGCCCACACAGATACTAGTATTAGTGCATCCCTCCTAAATTTTACCGTTGGGGGTCACCACAACTTGGCAATTGTTACCAAGGGGTCCCAGCCCTAGAAAGGTTGAGAACCACTGGCTTAGAGGCCGGCACAGAGCTATTGTCCAGCCTCTCCCTGCAGCAGTAGATCACTGCTATAGTGATGAATCCCCCCCCTCCCAACAAAAAAAAACCCACATATGTACACAATGTGATTTGGATTTTTAGCGATCCTAATCTTATCTTAATGTTATGCTAACAGTTTACACAAACTATATTTTTTTGGACTGCATGCATCACAATGTAGTGTCTAAAGGGGAATAGAGCTCCCCTAAAGAAAAAGGCATATGTTCACCTTGCACTTTACTATTTCACTCTTAGAACAAAAAAAAATCACACTTCTGTGTTATCACTTTAATTGGGGTATTTTGATGGTTTTATTTGGATTAAACAAGTGGGGGTGCAGAAATTACCTGTGTTACATTGGGAAAAATTTGAAGAAATTACATTTCTTTCCAATGAAAAACCGATATGAAATAAAAATATATTTAATTCTGTCCTGTCCTCAAAAAAAGGATATAAAATATGTTAGTGCAGACTACAAACAATATTGTGATGACCCGAAACATTTGTGAACTAAAAAAAACGCTCGGGGACTTTAATTTAGAGAAAAAGAACACCGGACCCACATGGTTAAATGGCTTAGAACAAGTGTGCAGGGAGGGAGTTCAGACTTCTCGGCCTAGAACAAGTGTGCCAGGTGGGAGGTCAGACTTCCCAGCCTAGAACAAGTGTGCAGGGAAGGAGTTCAGACTTTCCGGCCTAGAACAAGTGTGCAGGGAAGGAGTTCAGACTTTCCGGCCTAGAACAAGTGTGCCAGGTGGGAGGTCGGACTTCTCAGCCTAGAACGAGTGTGCAAGGTGGGAGTTCAGACTTCCCGGGCTAGAAAGTGTGCAAGGTGGGAGTTCAGACTTCCCGGGCACCTAGAACAAGTGTGCAGGGAAGGAGTTCAGACTTTCCGGCCTAGAACAAGTGTGCCAGGTGGGAGGTCGGACTTCTCAGCCTAGAACGAGTGTGCAAGGTGGGAGTTCAGACTTCCCGGGCTAGAAAGTGTGCAAGGTGGGAGTTCAGACTTCCCGGGCTAGATCAAGTGTGCAGGGAAGGAGTTCAGACTTCCTGGCCTGCATGCTTAGTTCAGAAAGGCAGTATTTTCTATGCAGTTAGGGTTTCAGTGGGACAATATCATGAACACTGGGACGTGACCACAAACTAGCAGGTTGAACGTTCAAAACGAACCTTAGAATGTATATTCCTAAAAGTGTAGTGGGTGCTTGAAAAAGATTTCCAGCAGATGTAGTGAGTCAGTCAACTTTACAAGAAATTAAACATGCTTGAGGACAACATTGGTCTATCTTAAAAAAAATATATAAAATCCTGCAAATGTTAAAAGAAATGGGCAGAGGTTTTCTGCCATTACACTTCTGTTTCTATGCTTGTTCTAGGTCAGTGACTCTTAAAGGAGAACTATGACATGAGTGATTTCCACTCACCTCATAGTTCTAAGCCGACCTGTGACAACGAGACTGTGACAGGTCGGCTCAGTAGATCCAGCCCCTCCCCCTGTCTCTGCCGTGACAAGGGGAGGGGCTGGATTCCCCTCTCCCCGCTCCGATCTGCCAGCGCTGACTGTGTCCTCCCGTTACCCCAAGGAGAACTATGGGGAAAAACACTGACCCCATAGTTCTCCTTTTAAGGTAAAGAAATCCTGATCAGAATAATCCCAGGGCCTGCCATTTTGAAAACAATTGTTCGGTAACAGCTCCCATATGTAAATCCCGGTTTGTAGTTTATGGTTCCAAGGTATATAGTTGATCACTCTGCAAAGACTAAGGTAGAACAATAAACACCAGATATGGAGAAAATGTTTATTGGCAAAATTAATATTTTTCAACCACAAAATAACACCTCCTTGAGAAAGCCATATGCTGTTTAACACTGGAGCAGATGATGTAACAAGTTTTTTTTTTTTTTTTTATAATCCCCTATAGCAGCCTTCCAGTATGAAATCTTGTGCTCTGCAGCTGGCCAAGGTTACCTGGGACTCTGCTGTTCCAAAAACCCATGGAGTATTTGTGGTTCCACAACTGCTCTGTAGCATTGCATTTTCCTAATGTGAAAATAATCCAGAATTAAAAGTTTGAGGGATTCCTTCAGACTGCAGTACTTTCCTCTGGAGTTCACATTTGTAAGTGATCTTTCACAGTTAATAGAAAAAAAAACAATATACCGACAGTTCTGACTTATACAGGAGTGCTTACTGCAGGGTTGGCACAGCTTTTATAGTTAATATACTGAAGTCTTAAAAAAAAAAAAATCCATCAAAAGTTTCTTGGTAATAAACAAAACTTGCCATCAAGGCTGTTGTGGAAACTCATTTTCTTTCCTTTTTAAAATCTACTAACAATGAATTTACAATTATTTAATCATTTGCAAATAGGAAAAGCTTGTAGCAAGGTAGACAACCTGGCTGCTGTCAGTGTACTACAACCAAAGGAGGTTCTTAAAGTTGCATAATCAAGGAAGAAAAGTAGTTTGTATAATCACTAGAAGATAACCAGAGGAATTATATCAATGTTCACATTTGGATTATGATTGGTGCTTTTCTGAATGCACCTGTGTCATCATGTTCTAATCTAAATCACACACAACTTCCTTCATACGATCTATAACCGAAATGTGTAATGTCTGCAATGCATTATCAATGTTTTTTCTCCCGAAAGTGACACCTGAAACCTGGCCTACAAGCCCTTGTGTAGCTAGGCCACAGAATTCAGAAGACTCTGCTCTTCCTGAAACTCCTGGGACATCTGCTTCTTAGAAGTAGTATTCAAGTAAGGTTTAAAGATTGGGTATTCCTCCACAGGCTCCTCCTTTTGGCTTCATGTGCTAGAAGTCCACACATGCATCTGTTTTGCTATTTGATGGACGTAGCCAATATCCGGCCTTTGGTCTGGATCAGGGTAAATGCACATACTGACCAGTTCTCGTAACTGAAAAGAGAAAATACATATATCAAGCATTAGAACGGAACTGATTATAGCATTGCAGGGAAGGGCTGCTAATAGGATATCACACTTGGATGTTTAAAGTGTATCTAAACCAAAGAAAACAAATGTAATAGATTGCAACTTTGGAGTCCTTCAATGTGGTGGCTTCATTAGTTTGCTTTTTTTAGGTTTTCATTTACTTTATTTGCACCTGTTAATCCTGCCAAAAACACATTCTCCATGCTCACTCGTGGTACTCTATCTATGAGCCCTTATTCACACTTGAGTTTTTTGTAGCTTGAAGCTCAAAGCTCCAAAACGCTTAAACAAAATCCCAAGTTTTTAAATAGTGCCTGTATACAATTAGTTGCCTGTAGCTCAACGCCTGATCCTCAAAAAGGTGCATCTCTTCCACCTTGTAACTTTCCATTAGCAAAAGCAAAAACTCCCAAGCCTTAAAAAAATCAGCAAAAATACTTGGGATGCACCGATATATCGGATGCCGAAACATCGGCCGAAAATGGCACTTTTGGCATAATACCGAAAGTGCCATTTTCCTGCCGATACCTCGGCGCATCCCAGGTTTCTTTCCTCCCCGCTGGGCGCTGCTCTGTTTGTATGTAAACAAAATGTCTCCAATGGTATGTTTAATATACCAAAGTGAATGAAAAATTTATTGTTGGGGTTTACAAACAGTTTAAAGTGTGAATGTTGAAAGTTCTGATTAGCAAGATGCATTCACCGGTAGTTGTAGTTGCACAACAATAGGCAGGGTTGCTGCAATTATTACACTTCCCACCCCTCACCCAAGTTTCCAGAAGGTGATCACTCTCAAGATGGTTATGTGGTTGACGATCTTGCCTTGTAGACAGGGGCATAACTAGAAATCACATAGCCCCA